CCTAAAACGTATTGGCTTCATTAAGACATATCCTGGACTCTATCACCATTGGCCTGGTGCCCTTCCTGCTATCTACTGGACTTTTTTTTAGGACCTCCCCTTTGCCTGGTGGTTAAATGACTGACAGTCATTTTGGTGTCACCCCCTAAGTCGGGCACTCAGTCATGAACCAAGAGTGGCACAAAAGAAAGGTGGGGGGGCCCTTTGGCATTCCTGATCCCGCCGGGTCAATATCCCCCCCGTCCATCACCATGAAGTTAATCACCGTGCATGCGTGATGATGTCACGCCACGGACGTCATAACCTATGCGCGGCGGCCCGCACCGGCTGACACCCGTCCCGCTAACAATAGGGGCTGCTATGGGGCCTGGAGGTTTTTTCATCAGGAAAATATTCTGAGTATTCTGAGACGCTGGAAGCGATTTCCTGCTCAAAACCAGAAAGGAAAAAAAAAAAGCACTTTGGCCAATTTCCTCCCACGACGGCGCGAGCTGCATCTGATATCCTGAGAATCGCACGGCGCCGCCCAGGCTCTTCATCCTCCAGCCGAGGATTGCTCCTCACCCCAAAACGCCCCCCATTAGGATCATTAGACAACATGAAACGTTCATCCGCTAACAGGGAAAGAGGTTTTTTTTTTGTGTCATTTTCTGAAGAGAGAGAGATGCCGAGGCTCCTTCCTGCCATACAGAACGAGGGATTGTCCTGCCTAATGCATGACTGTGAAATGTTCTACAATACCCATCCATCGCCCTACAATGACATCAGATGGCATGATATATACCTGTAATAACCTCCCTTGTATAAACATTCAAGATTCCCCCTCCCCCCCCTTCCAGATTCTACATAAAAGGTGATGTAGGGGAGATGGGCCAGCACAGACAGTAATTAGACATACAGGGCACAGGGAGGGGAATGATGAGCAAGAAAAAAGGGGGCTGTGCTATGCAATTGACTCTTCCTGGAGGAGTCAAATTTTCTAACGAGCCAGAATAAGCACAGAGCCACATGCGACCCAATGCCCATCCCCCTCCCCACATACATCACACACCCCATATGACAGCACTCGGATCTGCCCATTGGTGTAAAAAATTTTTTTTTTTTTTCCACCAATGGGCGCCCCCCCCCCATAGACTGAGAGTGGAAGATTCCGCACTGTGAGCCCATAAGGCTTCATGGCATTGCACAGTGCAGGTATGTTTGCAGGCACCGGGAGCTGGAGGGGAAGGAGCCTATGGAGCTTACAATTACTCAGGGTGGAGTTTGTCCCATGTATCAGATTATGGCTTTTGTATCATTATCAAGCAGATTACACCATACACAGAGAGAGATGTCTGACCCTTCATATAAGGCTGTCATGGCTTCTTCCTCTTTTACACATGGCTGCCAGGTGGGGCACATATGGGCTCCCACCATCCCTGTGCTGAGTTCCGGTGTCTGTACACCCGCTGTGCCCATTATGAGGGGCCCCCACCATCCCTGTGCTGAGTTCCCGGGTCTGTACCCGCGCTGTGCCCATTATGAGGGGCCCCCACCATCCCTGTGCTGAGTTCCCGGGTCTGTACCCGCGCTGTGCCCATTATGAGGGGCCCCCACCATCCCTGTGCTGAGTTCCCGGGTCTGTACCCGCGCTGTGCCCATTATGAGGGGCCCCCACCATCCCTGTGCTGAGTTCCCGGGTCTGTACCCGCGCTGTGCCCATTATGAGGGGCCCCCACCATCCCTGTGCTGAGTTCCCGGGTCTGTACCCGCGCTGTGCCCATTATGAGGGGCCCCCACCATCCCTGTGCTGAGTTCCCGGGTCTGTACCCGCGCTGTGCCCATTATGAGGGGCCCCCACCATCCCTGTGCTGAGTTCCCGGGTCTGTACCCGCGCTGTGCCCATTATGAGGGGCCCCCACCATCCCTGTGCTGAGTTCCCGGGTCTGTACCCGCGCTGTGCCCATTATGAGGAGCTCCCACCATCCCTGTGCTGGTTTCCACCATTGTGAAATGACCCCCAGGAAGCAGTTGCATCGGAGCAAAGAAACGTTGTCTTGTTGCTATGGGTTACCATACCTCTAACAGCATGCTAGTGGCGCTGCCACGGTGAGTACGTCCTATAGACTGTCCTGTCTGCATCTATTAGCTCATAGTAAGTTGTACATCAATAGGGAGGTCAGGTCTTGCACCTTAATCACTAGCCCCCCCCCCCATCATGAATTCATTCATTCCAGCTACAGTCGCTTGACAGCCGCCCCCTGCCACTGTGTCCAAGATGCCAGCGGAGATACTCTGCACTGATCTATTATGTAACAGAGCCGCGTTTCAAGTGGAAATGCCAGGCATGGATGATGAGGGGGGGGCTATAGAGATCTATTACCAGTCCCTCCTTCCAGCACATGAATGGTTAAAGACCAGACCCATCCTGCCGCGCACAAGCACCAACCATTGTGCAGCGCTGGGGTTAACCCCTTCAGTAATCGTTCTGCACATTGAGATACAAGCTACAAAAATCACAACCGAGGTGCTCAGTGCCGTCACTGCAGAGACATTCTTGGGTTTCACCCCAATTTGTACCTTGGATCAATCTGGAGGTTAGATCTCTGTTAGGAATGATGAAAATCCTCACATTGGAGTAGTTTTTGTACATTTTTGTCCCCTTGAAGGACATTAGAAGAGCACGACAATCTCATTAAATGCAACACAGCATTCCCCTCGATCAAAAGTCGAGGCTGATTAAGCAAGGGAGCGGAGAATCTTCACCCGCCACAGAGAGAGAAGATTCACTCCAATTACACAATCACGGGACATTCCTGTTTATTTCATCGGCACATAATGGGTATGAAATAAATACATAAAGGCAACTGAACTTGCTGTATTGTTTTTTTTTAAAGACGTTTCGCTGGTCATCCGACCAGCTTTCTCAATTCAGAATGACTTGTACAAAAAATACCCAGAGAATAAATATGGGGGCTGTTGCTCCAATCAACATAATCTGTATGGGGTCAGAGACCCCCCCTCATGGAGGTAAGGTGCTGAGTGGAGCAACATTCACCATATTTATTGCCAGAGAATGTTTGTACAAGCCATTCTGACCTGAGAAAGCTGTTCGGATGACCAGCAAAACGTCTTCAAGACATAAATACAGCAAGTCCAGTTGCCTTGATTTATTTTTTAGAGATATGCCCTGACCTGGAGGAATGGGAACCTTCACAGACATGACCTGGAGGAATGAGAACCTTCATAGACATGACCTGGAGGAATGAGAACCTTCACAGACATGACCTGGATGAATGATAACCTTCACAGACATGACCTGGAGGAATGGGAAGCTTCACAGACATGACCTGGAGGAATGGACAGACATGACCTGGAGGAATGGGAAGCTTCACAGACATGACCTGGAGGAATGGGAAGCTTCACAGACATGACCTGGAGGAATGGGAAGCTTCACAGACATGACCTGGAGGAATGGGAAGCTTCACAGACATGACCTGGAGGAATGGGAACCTTCACAGACATGACCTGGATGAATGAGAACCTTCACAGACCTGACCTGGAGGAATGAGAACCTTCACAGACATATTGCACGTGATTGGGTATTTCCGAACCAACGCTTTACCCAGTAAAGGTTCTCAGCTCCTCTAGTACATCAGCCTCAAGGTCTCCTAGCTTCCATGAGTACCAGAGGGTGACCTGTAAGCTCCTTCACCCTCTCACATTCTGAGCCCCATTTGTGACAAGCGTCTTGGCGCACCCCCTATCTTGAAGGGCCTGGGGGGGCCACATTCCCTGTTAGCCGCTTCATTACAAACAACCATGAGACAATGCCCTCCCTCGTGGCGGCATGTCTAAAAAGCCCTTCTGCAAAATCAGGAGGAAAAAAAAGACAACGATGGGTTAACACAGCAATGTTTCCGAGCGCGAGTGAAGCTGACAACACTGACTTACGGCATAAACAGGCGAATGTTATGACCACCGGAGCACATAACACCGCGGCTGTTGTTCCTAGCAACCGACCAGAACCCTTCAGCTTCACCGGGACATCAACATAAGATCAGGTCTGACTGGTTGCTGGGAGCGACAGCACTGTCAGGCTGGCAGACGTCACCCCATAAAAGGAAAATAAAAAATACAAATATATATAAATAAGAAGACATTGAGAAGCGGATACCTGGCAAGAACGATGCAGAATGATCATTTTAGTATTAAAATATATTTATAATTAAGCATTCATGGGTTCACTTACAGCGGCATGCCCGGCAAAAAAAAAAAATGAGAGGCACGCTGCATGAGTGCACAGTTGTCTCGTATCGAATAACACAAGAGATAACATGAAAGGTTGTTGAGGGGGGTGGGGGAGCCCCCTAGAATAAAAGGCACCCCGAATTCAGGGTATTAGTTCTTTTTTCAAGTTTAAGGTGTGCTGTTGTGGGGGAAGGGTGGGGGTCACACGATTCTTTTCCTCTCCCCTTTGCACAGAATCCGTTTGAAGGCTCTCCTGAAGTCATGGTTGAAGATGGTATAGATAACCGGGTTCAGGGAGCTGTTACAATAGCCAAACCAGAAGAAAAATTTGAAGAGTGTGTCAGGGACGTGGCAGCTTTTGTTGCAGATGGCGATGAGGCAGTAGGTGAAAAAGAACGGGAACCAGCACACAACAAACACTCCGATGACCACGGCCAGGACAAAGGTGAACCTTTTCTCCCGGTTCTGCCTGCCCCTCCACCGGGAGGCTTTGGCGCTGCTCTCCTCCTCTCTCCGAGGCAAGCTGTCCCCTGGTTTGATCTGGCTCAGTTTGGTCTTCCCTTTGCTCCGGTTGACTTTGTCCCCCTTCTTCTTGGAGGAATACTGCTGTCGGTCTTCGGGATGATCGGAAGAGGAAGAGTCCTCCAGGTCCATTCCATTGGCCTCGGGCTCTTGATGCTGCTCCCCTCCTGGCCCCTCAGCGTTCTCCCCGTTGAGTTTGACTGGCAAGTCCTTGTCGCCGTAGCCGTTGTGCCTCTTATCGGCTTCGCCGCTGTTCCTCTTGCCGGGAGGGACCCTGGTCCTCTTCTTTGCTATCTGGTAGATCCTGATGTAGACCAGGACCATGATGACGCAAGGGGCAAAGAAGGAGCCGATGCAGGAGGAGATGATGTACCACTTCTCCTCATTGATCTTGCACTTCGGCTCTTCTTTTTTGCCGCTCTCCTTCTCGATGGTGATGAGCGGAGGGAACGAAATCACAGCTGAGATGACCCACACGATGACGATGATGCATTTGATCCGGCGGGGGGTCCTCTTGAGGTTGTACTCGATGGCTTGAGTGATAGACCAGTAACGGTCCAGGCTGATGGCACACAGGTGCACGATGGAGGAGGTGCAAAAGAGGACGTCCAAAGCCAAGTAGATCTCGCACCACACCTTGCCAAAGTACCAGTAGCCCATCACCTCATTGGCCAAAGAGAAGGGCATGACCAGAGTGGCCACTAAAATGTCCGCCGAGGCCAAGGAGAACAAGAACAAGTTCTGGGGGGCTTTGAGAGCTCTGCTTGTAAACACTGCGATGACCACCAGGACATTGCCAAATACTGTGAAGAGCATGAGAATACCCACCAGGGAGATGAGTGCCAGTGTGACCTGCAGGGAGTATGGGGGGCCCTCTTCCCCAGAATTAGTCCCATTGTTTATGGTGCTATTACCACAGTCCCCCAGGCACTCCATGGCAGAGATGCCCCCCCTTGCCGCTAGCGGGTTCTCAAAGTTAATCATGAAATATCGGTGTGTCTTCACCTGGGCTCAGCAGACTTGTCTGGGTGTGACATTGAACCAGCTACAGGCGAGAGTCCTTAGCAGCAGCCTGGGTCGGCCGTGTCTACCTTCTCTTCTGCACTCCAGCTCCCTGCTCCTACTACTCCACACAGGTGTGACACACGGTTCTCTGCACCTCTCTCACAGTCTTTGTTCTCTTCCCCCCACCTCTTTATTTTCTGAGTAATGTAGTCCAGATTCTTACCTTTCTGGACATCTGGATGAGCTGCAAGTAGCGCACCTGGTCAGGGGTGGGTCAGAGGCACAACATGCCTGTTGCATCAAGGGTTAAAGGAAAGACTTAGGAGACGTGATAGGCCACCGGAGGAAGGTACTTTAAAGAGGGTCATCCAGATTCCCAGTGTGATCACTCTAGTGTCCAGGCACAGGTTTAAAGTTCTCTTTAAAAAGCTAGCAGCAAGTCCTGTGTCCAGGTAAGGGAGACCAAGTCCCGTGTCCAGGTCGAGGAGACAAAGTCCTGTGTTCAGGTAGAGGAGACCAAGTCCTGTGTCCAGGTAGAGGAGACCAAGTCCCGTGTCCAGGTAGAGGAGACCAAGTCCTGTGTCCAGTTAGAGGAGACCAAGTCCTGTGTCCAGGTAGAGGAGACCAAGTCCCGTGTCCAGGTAGAGGAAACCACGTCCTGTGTTCAGGTAGAGGATACCAAGTCCTGTGTCCAGGTAGAGGTGGCTGGAAAAAAGAAATCTGTGTTCCAGTAAAGCTACTCACAGGTCTTGTGCCCAGGGGGGTCAGTGTGAGTCCAGGGGGGTCAGTGTGTGCCCAGGGGGGTCAGTGTGTGCCCAGGGGTTAGCTGGGTGCTGCTTTCTCAGCAGAGCACCTAGATTCTGCCCACTCTGGGTGCTGTCTGCATCTGGCTGTGGCAATACCAGTGTATGATTTTACAGCTCAGCAGTGTGATAGTTGGGTGCTGCCTCTGCTCAGCCTGGGTGCTGTCTCCGTGGGTGCCGTCACCGGTTGTAATAGATGGGTGCTGTCCTCATTGGCAGCTCATCTGGGAGCTGCCTCTGCTTGCTGCTGGGTCAGAACACTGCTGACTCTCTTCACAGTTGGGATCAGAACAGAGAGCCGGATGCTTCTTTTTTGCAGATGGGTCAGAACAGCGATCTGGGTGATGTCTCTGCTTGTAGCTGGGTCAGAACACTGATCTTGGGTGCTGTTTCCTGTTGCTGTTGGGTCAGAACTCTGATTTTGGTGCTGTTTCCTCTGTAGGTGGGTCAGAGCATTGTTCTTTGCACTGGTTTCTTCTTGCTGTTGGGTCAGAACAGTGATCTTGGTGCTGTCTCTGCTTGCACTTGGGTCAGAAGACTGATCTGGGTTCTGCTCCCTCTTTCTTTTGGATCAGAACACTGGTCTGGGTGGTGCTGATCAATGCAATCCTCCCCGTTGGCAGACGGCAGCCAGTGCCTGCGCTGTGTGAACAGATTCAGCTCCTGATTGCTGTATGAGCTCCCAGCTCTGGACTCATATATAGCAGCACAGTCAGCTCCAGAGCAGAGAACAGGCAACGTCACCCCCACGTGGGTATTTACCATCCCTACACCGTGCACACACCCTCAGCCAGGAGACTGTGCACACCAACCCTGCTCTCTAACAGTCACACCGCGCACACTGCCAGGGACACTCCTGACATAGAGGAGCCCCTCAATGGGAATTTTGTTTTTTTTAGTATGTTATGCATATTTTTACTTTTAATTCCCTTTTATTATTTGTATTATTATTTTATTTTTATTATTATTATATATTTTTTGATCATGTTAATGTTATTTTTTTTACATGCATTTTATTCACATTTCTTACAGCAAGTTCTCATTGCAATAATTTTGTCTACTTTTTGTTTTTAATCATGTTAATGTTATTTTTTTTAACATACATTTACATAGTTACATAGCATTGGAGGTTGAATAAAGCCATAAGTCCATCAAGTCCAACCTGTTGTTGGACACACACACAGTGTGTGTGTTAGCGTTTATGAGGTACCGTATCAAAAGCCTTAGCGAAATCCAGATATACCACATCCACAGCCCTCCCTCCATCCAGATCTCTACTTACCCCCTCGTAAAAAGTCAGTTTTTTTTTTTTTTAATCATGTTAATGTTATTTTTTTTACATACATTTCTATTCACATTTCTTACGGCAAGTTTTCATTGCAATCATTTTGTCTACTATTATCCTTTTATTATTATGAATTATTATTATTTTATTTGTATTATTATTTATTTATTTATTTTGTTTTAATCATGTTATTGTTATTTATTTTTTTTACATACATTTTTTATTCACATTTTTTACAGCAAGTTCTCATTGCTTTTGGCATTTCTAAAAAAAAGTCTACTTTTTTTTATGACATGATAATTTTTTTTTGCTGTTTATATTATGGTTTAAAATATTTTGTAACATTTTCATTACGTTGTCTTTTTGAAAATGCTTCTTTTAGTTTTTTACTCTTTACTATTATGCATCTGATTTTTTTTGGTTTTTTTTGGGGGGGGGTTTGGAAATGTCATTCTTTAGACCGCCAGCATTGTGCATGGGAGCCAAAAACACAGGTTACAATGCGCTTTGCACTGTAGGTCAATGCGCGCCATTAATTGCATGCAACATGCGCGTCGCGTGCTTTGAGATGCGCTTTAATGTGTTTCCATTGACATCAATAGAAACTGTATTTTGACAGAACACTGAATATAGTCTCAACTGCGATATTTACATAAGAATGGGCGGAGCTATTTACATAAGAATGGACGGAGCTATTTACACAAGAATGGGCGGAGCGATTTACATAAGAATGGGCGGAGCTATTTACATAAGAATGGGCGGAGCTATTTACATAAGAATAGGCCGCGACTCATTCTCCCCCAAAAAAATGTCCGCACGTCGCTAGAGTGTTTGGGTTTCGCCTAAAGAAAAGATGGCAACCCGAGCTACAGTGGAGTCCCCGTTCACACGTAGGCATAACCGGGAATGCATGCTAAGGCATGGGTCTCTCCTGTGTTGGGCGCGCGTTCACGGAACGCCTAGGTGTGAACGGGGACTAAGTGAATCACAGCACAACACACTAAGCGCTGCGCAGTAAAATGTGCGTTTCTGCAACCTTAAAGGAGAACTATGGGGTTAGTGTTTTTCCCCATAGTTCTCCTTAGGGTAACGGGAGGACACAAACTAGCGTCCTCCCGTCACCCTAGGCTCAGTATATAGGGAGCTACAGCTCGCGGTATACTGAACCGCCGCAGCCGGGACTTATCCTGACATTACTGTCGAGATCCACCCAGCTGCGTGAGTGACAGCTGGCTCTGCCTATCCAGAGGCAGAGCCAGCTGTACCCGCCCCCTCCCAGTCAGCGCTGGAGGTTTGGAGCTGGGAGGGTGGGAATCCCTGCACGGAGCCGTGAGTTACAGTCACGGCTCCCTGCAGGGAGATGATCGAGAAGTGAGCGAGCACCGGTATGTGTTCGCTCGCTTCCCGATCTATTGAGCCGACGTGTGACAGTCTCATTGTCACACGTCGGCTGTTCTAGGGGAACAGTGAAAAGCACCCTCCCTCATAGTTCTCCTTGAACTTTTTTTTTGCCCATTTTTTACTTTAGCTTTTCTAAAAAAAAAACGTAGCTGGCTTCTACCGGGTTACAGAGCATGGTAAGCCTCCCCTCTGTGTAACCTATCGTGGACGGAGTACCGCCTGTTAATTACAGGCGGCGCTGCATCCAGCTTTTGACAGCTATGTTTGGTTACACAGCAGCGGGCTCCCCCACGGCGGTGTGTAACCTAACACAGTGAGGTCAGAGCTACAACAGCCTCTGACCTGGAGTCAGAGGCTTGAGCTCTGTGGATGGTTCAGAATAGGGATCCACCGATACCGATACTAGTATCGGTGCCAATACCGAGTATTTGCCCAAATGCTCCGATACCTTCCCCAATACCGGAACTTCCGGTCAGAGGAAGATTTCTGTTGACCGCCAGTGCCATAGGGGAACATGGAGCCGGCTTCCTGGGCAATCAGGAAGCCAGGTGGTGAGAAATGACCCGCCTCCCACCTTCCTGATTGGCTGGGAAGCCGTCTCCATGCTGATTGGCTGGGAAGCCAGCTTCACGGCCAATCACCATCGAGCTGGCCGAACGGCCGTCTCCTTGCTGATTGGTTGGGAAACCGGCTTCCTGGACAATCAGCATCAAGCTGGCCAAACAGCCGACTCAATGCAGATTGGCTGGAAGGCCGGCTTTCCAGCCAATCAACATGGAGCCAGCTTACCGGGCAATCAGGAAGCCGGGAGGCGGGTCATTATTCGCCGCCCGGCTTCCTGATTGGCTGGGAAGCTGCCTCTTTGCTAATTGGGTGGGAATCCGGTTTCCCAGCCTATCACAATCGAGCCGGCCAAACAACATGGAGCCATCTTCCCGGGTAATCAGGAAGCCGGGCAGCAAGCCGGGCGGCATACCCACCGCCCGGCTTCCTGATTGCCGGCTCCATGCCAGCAGAAGCACTGGTATCGGTACTCGGTATCGGCAAGTACTGAAAGCAAAATATTGGTACTCACACTCGATACCGAAAAACCGGTATCGGTGCATCCCTAGTTAAGAACAATGGGAAAGCGCCATTCGTCCAAGCCATCCAATCAAGAAAAAGAAAACAAAACACTGACGGCATCCATTTAGATGGCTCATTAGTGACGAGCAAGTGAGGGACAGGGAGGCTCCTCCTTCCTCCCACACCCCACAGGCAGAGCAGTGTCCCCTCCAAACTCACAGGCACAGTGACCGGGCCTGAGGCAGGGTGAGGGCAGGCCTGGGGATGCCTCACCTGCCACTGACGTCATTGCACATCCCTGGTGGGCATAGGAGTGCAGAAACATTGTAGGCACAATAGTGCAGGGTCACTGGAGACACAGGAGTGCAGGGGTCACTGGAGGCACAGGAGTGCAGGGGTCACTGGAGACACAGGAGTGCAGTGGTCACTGGAGAAACAGGAGTGCAGGGGTCACTGGAGACACAGGAGTGCAGGGGTCACTGGAGACATAGGAGTGCAGGAGTCACTGGAGACACAGGAGTGCAGGAGTCACTGGAGACACAGGAGTGCAGGGGTCACTGGAGACACAGAAGTGCAGTGGTCACTGGAGACACAGGAGTGCAGTGGTCACTGGAGACATAGGAGTGCAGGAGTCGCTGGAGACACAGGAGTGCAGGAGTCACTGGAGACACAGGAGTGCCGGAGTCACTGGAGACACAGGAGTGCAGGAGTCACTGGAGACACGGGAGTGCAGGAGTCACTGGAGACACAGGAGTGCCGGGGTCACTGGAGACACAGGAGTGCAGGGATCACTGGAGACACAGGAGTGCAGGGGTCACTGGAGACACAGGAGTTCAGGGGTCACTGGAGACACAGGAGTGCAGGAGTCACTGGAGACACAGGAGTGCAGGGATCACTGGAGACATAGGAGTGCAGGGGTCACTGGAGAAACAGGAGTGCATGAGTCACTGGAGACATAGGAGTGCAGGGGTCACTGGAGACACAGGAGTGCATGAGTCACTGGAGACATAGGAGTGCAGGGGGCACTGGGGACACAGGAGTGCATGAGTCAGTGGAGACATAGGAGTGCAGGGGTCACTGGAGACACAGGAGTCACTGGAGACATAGGAGTGCAGGGGTCACTGGAGACATAGGAGTGCAGGGGTCACTGGAGACATAGGAGTGCAGGGGTCCTGGAGTGCACCATGGTCACAGTCACTGGGGAAGCATGGGGCACACAGCAGACAGGCACTGGAGGTACAGGGTGCTCAGCTTTGGCGTAGTGAAGAGTTGCTTGCATGCTGAGCTCCATGTCTCTGAGCCCTTTAAGCTTAGCCGATTGGCTGTGGTGCTGGACTTACGGGTAAAACCCAGAAGTGATTGAGGCCTTTCCTGAAGAGGAGACCCGGATCTGTGAGGAGGTGAGTGTAACATTGTTCATCCAATCAGATCAGATTGATGTCTGTATCCAGTACTGGGAGCGCCGGCTTAGCACATTTCAGAAATACAGAAATAACAGGAAATGAAAAGAAATCCCCTCTTAGACAGTTGTCACTGGAATATGTGTGTCCCTGTGGGAAGATTTCACCTCAGCTCCTGTTGTGGTGACAACGGTAACATGTATTTCCCATTACTTTCACCTTCTCAGTTGTCAGGACAGATGGGGGTGGGGGGATCTTCCCAGTGGGGACACAGGCAGGGCTTCTAACCCTTCCACACTCCATCCAAAACCTCATTCACGTTGTATGTGAATTCTGGGAACCAGAAGTCTGTAGGAAGTGAGCGCTCCATGGACCCCAACAGCGCCGGGTTCTCTGCGTCTCGGGTCCGGAGTCTCTGTCTGTCTGTGAAGTTTTTGCTCCAGAAATATTTGGTAAACCGGAATTTCCAGTTCTGGTGAAGGATCGGCCGGCACAACGCTGATCACAGACATGTTATTAATATCTTCCGTCAGTTATTTATAAACCTTCATTAAAGCAGAATAAGTATCACATGAAAGGAGCGCTACACCCATCATCCTTCCGGGGCACCAGCTTCCTACATCGTTCAGGGACTCACATGGTGGGATCTCTGCACCAGGGTTCCTGGCTCCGCCCACCCGCCGAAACCCGCATAAGAAGCGAGTCCCACAGGCCGTGCCGGGTCTCTCATTTATTGTACGTCAAGGGGAGTGAGACCCCGCCCACCGCCCTTCCCCTTGGCCATGGTAATGGATATGGTTGTGGAAGATGAACAGTGATGTCACTCCTGTATAATATCTGGAGAGCGGTGATGTCACTCCTGTATAATATATCTTATATCTGGAGAGCGGTGATGTCATAGCACGGTCTGCGCTCTTGGGATTTGGAGACGATGGGGGAGAAGTGAGGTGACGACATCCGAGGACCGCAGTGATTTGTGTTCCCTCCACACGATGTGTTATTAATGATACCTTATAATGAGCCGGAGGGACAGAGACGGGCGAGGAGGATAAACATGTTGTGGTGAGTGCGGCGGCCATCTGACACGTAATTGCTGTTGTGCTGACCTGCTGTTGTGCTGCGCTCGGGATCGGCACTCGGGGAGATTCAATGACTTGGAAACAATCAATTCATCGAGTGTTACATTGTAACTCCAAGAACACGGCGTCCCTTAAAGGGGACACGTACTGGGGAAATATACAAAGTTGCCATCACTGACCCCCTCCTGAAGGTGCCGGCTGCCTGGCTGTCTCTGACCTGACCTGAAACAATCATTTACATCAGGGGTGGGCAACCTCGGCGCCGCAGCTGCTGCGGAACTACAAGTCCCACGAGGAAAGACTCAACAATGACTCGACATTGGCAGAATCATGATCGGATTTGTAGTTTCAGCTGGAGAGCTGATTTAGATAATAAGGTCAGATCATATCTACATACTTGCTGCAGGCCAGTGCCTCGGAGCATTGAAGCCAGTGGACAAGCATGACAGCATCAATGCTGGGGACCAGCAGAGATCACAAACAAGATAAGGGGAACACCTGCGGTTGCAGCTTTGATAGAGGATGCTGGGCTTTCTATTGATCTATCTGTGAGTGAAGATTGACTTCTCCCTCTTCCCCTATATTTGGAGGTTTATAGCAAATACTTTGGAGGTTTATAGCAAATATGCATACCTTTTTTACAGTAGATGGTCATGTGACACCCCAGGATCCTTCCTTTTTTCCTCCGCTCCCCGCAATAGGCAGTCGTGATGTAGTTCTCGAAAACCATCGTGTGGTCCGTCAAGGACGACATGATGACAGACCCCCCCCCCCATCCTCAGAGGCGGGTCCATGACAACCTGGACTCACAGCAAGAGGAGGGAATGATGCTGGATGTCATTCAACCCGGAATGGAGGAGAAGCGCTGCATTGGTGAGTGTGCCGGGGGTCAGCACCGGAGAGGAGGCGGGCATTGCAGCAAGATACAATATTCCATTCGTAACCATGTTGGGCTATTTATTATTTCGCAATCTGATACTGGAATTGGGTCTTAAGGTGTCCAGTGCTGGTGGCAGGTAGGGATGGATGAGCTCAGGTTAGAACCAATCCCTCTCCGGACATGAGCTCACTCAAACAGAGAACCTACATGGGCCTCCTACCCAATCAGCAGCAGGTTGGGCCTCGCAGCTGGCCATACACAAAGGGGCGGGATGCTTGTGCTGATGTCATTGACATTATATGGTCACATGACCATATTGTGCGACTGTCATTTGCCTAATACAGCCATGTAAGGTCAGTGATGTCACTGCACCCGCCGCCCCTTTGCTTGTGTCAAGCTGTGGGCAGGTCATTCCTCACCTGTGGCTTCCAACCAGGTTCAGGAGGATCTCCTTCTGGGTTCGGAGGAGCTTCAGGTTTGGACCGGGATCCACTGTTATCACCTTCCCAGGGAATGCCATTGCTGGAGTGCCCGTGGACAGGAAGTGGCTGCAAAGTAGCTGCAAGAAATCAGCAGCACTGAGATGCAACAAAGTACAAAAAACAGATGAGAACGAGTATGATATTGTAGAACTGACAGTTGTTTATGATGCGCAGAGCCCAGAGCACACAATGTCATCTACTTTAAGCTGAGTAAGTGGTACCGCTCGCCCGGGGTAACAGAGAAGAGCAAAGTCTGACCGTGGCGGCTGATAACAGCCCATAAATCTCTCTTCCAGGTAACAGCTGTGCGGGAGACAGATGCGGCCTCTTGTTTATTGTGTACCATGCCGTGTCCGTTCCCTCCTCCATGCTGCTCTGTACATTGCACAGAAGTCTTGTTACAATGTATCGGCTATGGGATGTCTATATATCGGGGACCGCTGCTCAGGGCCCAGGGGCAAAAGGGGCAATTTCCACGGGCCCAGTCATTGTTGTGGAGCCCAAAGCAGCTGCCCCTTGAGCCCGCAAAAGATACACACGCGGCACTGTTCTTTATAATATGCGATCGGCATCGCATAATGTTGCTTCGACCCTGCCGTTCGCCGCGTTGCGTGAACGCATGACATCTCAGGTGGGGTCACATCTTAGGTGGGGTCACGTCTCCTTCTGACGTCTCCTTCTATCTCCATGGCGGAAGCCAGTGGCGCCCCGAGGCCGGGTGTCCGCGATGACGTCATCGCGCAAGCGCGGCCATCTGAATGACGCCTGCTGGCGCCCATCTTGGTGATGGACGCCGGCAGAGAGAGGAGGGGAGGTTCACCCGGCGGAATTAGGCATGCCGCCGGGTCCCCTCCTCTCTGCTGACACTGTCGGGCGATCGGTCCATGAGAGGGTGACACCAAAATGACTGTTAGTCATTTTGGTGTCACCCGGGTACGGAGCCGCACCCCCCTTGTGGCACCACTCGCGGGAGCTGGGTAGCGGGCTGAGGGGGCCAAGAAAAGCTTTGCCCAGGATCCAATCAATATTAAAGTCGGCCCTGCCTCTGCCAGTCTGTCTGGGTCCGAGCCGCGGAATGTTTTTGGACTTTTTATTTAAAGCTGAACTCCGGGCAAAAAAGCTTTCAATACAATATCTTCCTCAATAACCACAAAGGTGATAAATTCACTTGGTGTGCACCAAATGCAGATATCACCTTGTAAAAGTAACAGTGACATCATCACTGTGCTGTATATAGTCTGTGCAGAGCTGAGGGAGGGACCTGGCAGGCTCCACCCATTACAGAATACTACAGGAGGGGGCGGAGACGAGACCAGTCACCCTGCACAAGGAGAGAGAGCAGCAGTGAGCGGTCTTTATTACAGGAGGGGCGGAGACAAGACCAGTCACCCTGCACAAGGAGAGAGAGCAGCAGTGAGCGGTCTTTATTACAGGAGGGGCGGAGACAAGACCAGTCACCCTGCACAAGGAGAGAGAGCAGCAGTGAGCGGTCTTTATTACAGGAGGGGCGGAGACAAGACCAGTCACCCTGCACAAGGAGAGAGAGCAGCAGTGAGCGGTCTTTATTACAGGAGGGGCGGAGACAAGACCAGTCACCCTGCACAAGGAGAGAGAGCAGCAGTGAGTGGTCTTTATTACAGGAGGGGGCGGAGACAAGTGCCTGTGTAATGTGTATTGAAACAGCTGCTTGTAGTCCACTTCAGAAGCTGGAGTGACAACACAGGAGCACAATTCAGAGGCAGGGACAAAGCATTGTCACTCTTTAACAGGGAGTGCCTGAACAAGGACAACATGGCAGGATCACCGGGGATCTTTTTTTTTTAATGGAAGCTGCCGATTTGGAAATACTGAAACAAACTTCTGAAATGACATTGACGTGTTAAATCTTATAGGAGGTTTCATTGATTGGGGTTTACTTTAAGATACCGATACCTTATCGATACCAATAGGGTTTCCGGTGTCTTTATAGCAATTTTACGTTTCTTAAAGGGAACCTGTCACCGCTGAGGCTCCCGACCAGGCCTGGAGGATGGCTGACTCCCAGAGGTGTTGTCCATGCCAAGACGGAGCACACTGCCAGCTGTCACTCACGCAGCTGGGCGGATCTCGACATCGATGTCGGGATCCGCTCCGGCTGCGGCTTCTCAGTATATAGGGAGCTTATACTGAGCCTAGGGTGACGGGAGGACGCTAGTTTGTGTCCTCCCGTTACCCTAAGGAGAACTATGGGGAAAAGCCTTAACCCCATAGTTCTCCTTGGAGCTCAGACACGGCACATGCAGGACTCAGAACCTGGACTGTCCAGGTGAATCCGGGACGGGTGGCAACCCTAGCACACCTCCGCAGCATCGCAGACAGGGAATTGATGCAACGACGGCAGGACAAGCGCCGCTCGCAGTTTGGCAGCCTCGGCTGTGACCGGTGAGAACTGCACTGACAGGTTCCTGTTAATGAAAAACCTGATGTGTTGTAGCTCACAATCTGGACACTGCACAATGACAGCTTGCTCTGAGCGCCGCCTGGGAGCTCAGCCGCCCCGGACACAACAATGAGCTGTCGCCATCTGCTGGCAGCTTCGGCTCACTGCCCCTCCCCCGGGTGACCACGGGGATATATATATATATAGCGTATACATTAGACGGGGAAGCTGAGATCGCAGACATTGGGAGCTGACAGAGAATGAAACATGTGCAGTATTTTCCATCCTCTATTATAAACACTGACAGTTACTGAGAGCACAGATACCATGAAGTAGATGTCAACCCAATCACTAGGATCTCATGTAAGCTTTAATATGTCATTCCAAACATTGTCTTCAATATCTTTCAGTCGTTAGGATAATCCCCGGTGATCTTGCCACGAAGGTCCTTCTTCAAACGTCTCAGTGCTGCTGATCTCCTGTAGCCTTTTATCATCCACTTCCTGTCTACATGTACTCGTTGCAGTGTCAGCTGCCCTTCATTAGTCTGAACTACTACTACTACACCTGAGTGCCCCCCGGGTCTTCTACTGAGTGCCCCCCGGGTCTTCCACTGAGTGCCCCCCGGGTCTTCCACTGATTGCCCCCCGGGTCTTCTACTGAGTGCCCCCCGGGTCTTCTACTGAGTGCCCCCCGGGTATTCTACTGAGTGCCCCCCCGGGTCTTCTACTGAGTGCCCCCCCGGGTCTTCTACTGAGTGCCCCGGGTCTCCGTTTGAGAAATGGGAATGATGCATTTTGTTACATATTCTGTTTGGACCTTCTTGGTATAATGGATCTATTTTTCGATTATTATATTATTAATATTTTTTTTCCAAGCAAAGACAATACATTTGATCTTTATCTCAGTCATGTGATCGTAATGTGACGTTACTGTTTTTACATTATATTAGATATAAGACTGAGATTTGATCCGAACCCACCATCATGGTATCCTCCCGGCCCCTCAATATTTCATTCTGTGCCCCTGGTCTATTAGAACCCTAGAAACCCCCCTGAGCCAGACTGTGCCGTATGTACACGTCTGTCTCTCCCCCAATCTGTCCTCCATCCCTATCCTCGTATCATCCTCACACCGAGACTGAGAAGAAAATGTTCGGCGATCATCGGCATGCGTCATATCATTTCTGAGCGGCGATCATTTTCTGTTTGTCCTGTCCTGTTTTATTTGTGTTTCGGGACAATGGGTCCCATCGCTATAAATATACTGTAACCTGCAGGCGATACCTCTGTATCCTGCGTGTAATACCTCTGTATCCTGCGTGTAATACCTCTGTATCCTGCGTGTAATGCCCCTGTATCCTGCGTGTAAAACCCCGTATCCTGCGTGTAATACCCCGTATCCTGCGTGTAATGCCCCTGTATCCTGCGTGTAATACCTCGTATCCTGCGTGTAATGTCCCTGTATCCTGCGTGTAATGCCCCTGTATCCTGCGTGTAATACCCCGTATCCTGCGTGTAATGCCCCTGTATCCTGCGTGTAATACCCCTGTATCCTGCGTGTAATACCCCGTATCTTGCGGGCGATGCCCCTGTATCCTGCGTGTAGTGCCCCTGTATCCTGCGTGTAGTGCCCCTGTATCCTGCGTGTAATACCCCGTATCCTGCGTGTAGTACCCCGTATCCTGCGTGTAATACCCCGTATCTTGCAGGCGATGCCCCTGTATCCTGCGTGTAATACCCCGTATGCTGCGCGTAGTGCCCCTGTATCCTGCGTGTAATGCCCCTGTGTGCAGTGTGCAATTCCCCGTACGCTGAGTGCCACGCCCCCGCCTGTAACATTCCGAAAAATAAAATCAAGATCCCAGCATTTCACAGGTGCAGTGTAATGATCTCGGTTCCTTCCCTCACAGCAGCAGCGCGCCTAAGTGGCACAACAAATGGACTGCGCGGGAGCTGCGGATGTGTTTCGTCTAACGACGCCGACATCCCGGAAAATTTTTTTACGGAGCCTGAGAGCAGCTTGCCGGGGACGCCGCGCAATTATCCGAATGCGGAAGC